ACAGCGAGGAACCTGGGTGTAGACATAGATGATGGACTCTCTGCAAGCAAGCGTGCAGGAGCTCCAGTAGATGCCTCCTGTACAGCATCACGATGAGCCTCACCCTTCTCTCTAGGAAGAGCAGACCAGGTGCTCACCCTGGTGCTTGTCTTCTCCCACTCGGACTACTGCAACTCCCTCCATGCCACAGCCCCTGCGCCTGCCAGCAGTCCTAAAGGCTGCTCCACACCGGTGGTTCAACACACACTGACTTCCCGTTGCCATTTGCATCTAGTTAAAAGACTCTGGGGCTGGCCTACAGGAAAGTGTAGCACAACCATCATGCTCCTTTGCCTCTGGGCGATCGTCTGCACCATCGCTCTGAGGACTCTATGGTGGGGGCTCTAACTTGCTCCTGCCCTGCAGTGGTGGAATAAACTTTGTCAGACATCACCTAGACACCCCACGCTCGCACTTAGCCCACACACTTGCACTGCAACGCACTGAACACACTTTGATCTTGTGCTTATTGAGCTTGAATGCATGTATTGCAAGTCTGTGTGCAAAGCTCCTGCAGAGCCACAAAAGACATACAGCTGTGTACACAACTGTTTTCACAGCCAGAGTAGTACTCCCTGTGACTAGCAAACAGATTTTGGTGTGTGAAGTTGGTGGAGTACCCCTTTAACTTTGGCTGAAGACTGAGTTCTGAAGACACATGCTCATTTTCCAGCAGAAGTAACACATAACGCCGAACTGAATACAGCTTCAAAGTGCATGTTTTAGTTCATTTTAAACTTTAAAGCAACACAGCAAATGCAAAAGACAGAATTCAGAAATGAAAACAAAAAGAACTGCAGAGCAAATATGCATATTTTTGTTTATAACATCTGCTTATCCTGCCTCTCTATCATTTTGTCATGAGACACCTTGTAAGACACCGGTATGTATGCAGGACAGCAGAAGCATGGGCATGATTGTGAATGTATTGCGGTTAATAAAAAAGATTTAAACACTGGGTGTGACCATGGGTGTCTTGTGTTTTTGGCCTGCCCCGGGCTTTTTGTGGGAGGATATTTTATTTTGTCTCCGTGTCTAGTTTAGCTGCAGGCAACTTGCCTCTTGCTGACAGATGATAACAGCTTTATTCACAATGACTGTGACAGGGAAATTGCGTGTGTGTGGTTAGGGGAAACTGTGTGTTTGTGTTTGTGTGTGTGCGTTTGTGCAGCCTTGTGCATTTTTTCATTTATGCTTTTGCCCGGGGGAATATTTGATTCTAAAAGGCTTCTGTGTTGTCGATTAAATTTGTTTAAAGCGCGGTTTAACTGGAGTGCTGTGACAACTGTTTGATCACCATTCTGAATAAATACTTTGGTGAGATCTGAGCGTTCAGTTTAAGCCACACGGTGGCACATAATCAATGGCATAAATGGGTTTTCAATTTGCTTTAAAATGGCCAAATTAGCCTAAGCCTAACTGTGAAGGCTCCTGGAGAGACCTGATTAAAAATATGTTTATTCTGGATATTTCAATGTAACCTGGACTCTGTCATCATTAGGCTACAGATTAAAATGTCTATGAAATGTAGATATAGAAAGAAAAAGAAAAAACTAATATCCTGATCTATGCAGTAAGGATTTGTGTGCAAAATATTTCACCGATGCAGTGTTATTTCATTATTTAGTAGTTTGAAGCAAGCAGTGTGTGGATGTTGCTAAGCAGCAAGAGAAATGGTCCAAAGGGTCTACCTTTTCCAACACCTTGAAGAGTTTTAACCCTTACTTGTCACAGTGTCAGAGCCTCCACCTGCATTTCTGTTTGGGGTGGTAATTCTGTGTATGTTTGTGTGTGTGTGTGTGTGTGTGTGTGTGTGTGTGTGTGTGTGTGTGTGTGTGTGTGAGAGAGAGAGAGAGAGAGAGAGAGAGAGAGAGGTTGTCAGGGTTGCAGCATCTTTAACCAGCTCAGTACTGAGTCACCGTTTTGCCTCAGTGCTCCAACACTTCTGAGTATATTCTCAACATGTTATGGACCCCAGCTGTTTCCTATTTGTGTGTGTGTGAGAAGGCACCAGTCTGAACCCTGGCAGTTTCACACGCTCGCACACACACACACACTCTCTCCAGACAGAGATCGTCTCCCGGCAGCTGAATCACAATACAGCCTGCTGAGGCTGATAATACAAACAGGTGAATTGCTGGCAGAATCTTGAATGCGCAGACATTCACACCTTGTTCTGTTTAATTGGTACACTGAGGGATAAAGGGGGTTCTATGACAGCTGCATGTAGAGAAGTTGCTTATTACTCTTGCATGTGAAGACCTTCTGACTCCAATTTTAGTAATTTTTTATATTGCAGTTAAAAGATGATAACCACTTCTTAGTCAGAGAAGACTATTAAACATTGAAAACTGAAGAGTGCAGAAAATGAATAAGTCTTTCAAATCCCATTAAATACACTCAGTGATGAATGACAAGCTACAACTGCAAAGATGCTTTTCCTCCTCCCTGAAAATGTCATATTGACAGTCAAGGGTTCCACAAACATTTAAACCAACCACACCTTGACATGCGTGCAATCTGTAAATACACAGAGCAGATGGTGGAATGTATTTGTTGTCTGCAGTCATTGTATTTAATTCTTGGTACCTGATCTGATTATTGCTAATGATTGCCCGTCCACATCCAGTCTACTTGTGTTTTGTAGACAAGGAGAGAGCTCATGACTGTGTCCCCCAGGGTGTCTAGACAGAGGATGGGGTCATTGCTATGAGCCATTTGATTTTTATAGAACTAAAGTGAGAGCTGTAGCTGTATCCTTGGCCTGTCAAACATGTTTTCAGTGGGTGCTGGACTTCAGGGTTGTCCCTTTTAACTGATTTTATATGATATTCACGGATGGGATCTCGAGGCACAGCTGGGGAGAGGAGAGTGTCCGGTATGGGGAGCTCACTTCACTGACAATGTGGTTCTCCTGGCTTCATCAGGCCGTGACCTTCAGCATGCACTAGGTCCAGAGTTGGGTTGATTTCCAGTTTTGCCAGTCCAATGTACAAGCTTAAACTGGTTTGATGTTAGGCAAACTGGCTGAAATGGCATTTGTCATTATGACATGATATGGAAAATAAAAAGCCACCCACAAGAGCAACCTGTGCCGTTAGTGTCACGGTGCTAAATCCAGCTTGTATTGCATTCGTAATAAGCAATATGGCAACGTGATTAACATGTTATTCGTCAGATCCACCCCTCGCTCCTCCACAGCTCTAACCTCTTGGTCCATAGGAACTTGGGTTGGGAACTGGAGAGTCGCTGGTTCAAGTCCCTGTCTCAACCAAATATGGAGTGGGGACTGACAGCTGGAGAGGTGCCAGTTTGCCCCCTGGGCACTGTTAAGGTGCCCTTGATCAAGGCACCGAACCCCCAACTGCTCGGGGTGCCTGTCCATGGGCAGCCCCCTCACTCTGACATCTCTCACATTTAATGCATGTATAGGTCTTGTTTGTTCGTGTGTGGATCCAAATATAGTTACTGCTGGTTTCAAAAAACCAAGATGGCAACACCTGGCATGTTGACCTCAAGGCTTTAAAATGGCAGTCCACAAGCCAATAGGGTTTTTTTTTTTCACAAACCAATAGGTGACGTCACAGATGCTACATCCATACTTACATAGTCTATGGGTGGGAAGGAGGGGAGATGCCCTCCATGCACATTGTGTTTACTAAAAAGTTCATGTCTTTTTGGGGTGATGGGATCAAATAAAAAAGAGGTGAGACCAGAAATAAAAACACAAGGTGTCAGTTATCCCCTGATTGTGGTTAGCAATTGGCAGTTAGCAAACCAGCCTAGAAGTGTACTACGGCAAACAAGTGGAGTGGAGTTGCTACACACTGTCATTCATGGGCTCTCTCAGGGTGCTTTCACACCTGCCCTGGTTGGTTCGGTTCAATGGAACTCAAGTTCGTTTGCCCCCTAAGTGCGGTTTGTTTGGGCAGGTGTGAACACAGCAATCGCACTCCAGTGTGCACCAAAAGAACTGGAATGAGACCTTCTTGAAGAGGTGGTCTCAGTCCAGTTACAAACTAACTCTGGTGCCGTTCGTTTGTGGCGAGAACGTGTTCCGACCTCAACACATTACGCATTGCTTGGGTTAAACATGAGCATGTTACAGTCCTGGAGGATTATTAATGTGCACCTCCTCCTGTACTGCCTTAATATGCACATTCAGCACATC